TAATGAGTGCATAAACTTGGGAAATATCAAAATACTCTTTAATTTATATTGTGCATATCAAGGCCTCCATCACTTCAGAATGAAGCTATGGGATGATTCAGCATTCAGCTAACGGCCATTACTTAAAACCATGATTATCATATTTGCTTGATGTGCTTCAAAAAATTTGATATCCAAGGCTTGGCAGCACCAAACGTATTCTTTACATCCGGGAGTCCATGTGAGACTCACTTCCTGGTTATTGCCAAAACAAGAAGAACTGTTGCATCTATTTTTTGCAATTTTATACATCTTTAAAGTTCAATATTTATGTCAACTTGTCACGAATTCCATCATCTTTTGCTCTAATTGTTGCAAGCTTTCCTGCATCTGCGGCCTTGGGTACAGTTAACTTTGGTATTAATGTTGATTTGATCTCGTTTTCGCAACTTGTTTAGTCGACCGATATTAAGCTCACCTAAATTTCCCTTCATTACCGGCAGTGCCCAGTATGCAAAAAGAGTGAATAGACGGGGTGAAGTAAGCAAGTCTGGTGCCAATAGTCCAAAGAATTTTCTCTAACAGGTTACAAATTTATGATTTTGGATGAGTATGAAAAGGGACCCATTAAATGGTTTGCCCATGTCTCCACCACTGACGATATATCCGACCTCCGAGAGGACCACGAAATGGACCAGGCCGGCAGACCAAATATGTCTACTAAACATGACCAACCAAGCAGGAAATGAGGTGTGAAACAACCGGTTTGCCGAGATAACCCAGAGGATAAAGCCTTTGGGAGAAAGACATAGCGTCGGTTGCGGACAGACGAGTGTGTCAAATTTGACTTCTTTTGTGTCCTTGCCTGCTTGTCTGTGTTTCTCGGGAGGCCAACAAGCGCAGTCATTGTTGCTCTAGTTGCAAATTGGCCAACAAGACATCATTTCTGCTCAAAATGGGGCTGATTCTGCTCCTACACATTTCCATGAGAGGTGGAGGAAGGCCGAAAGAAACAGTGGGCAAGGCAGAGATGGTCAGCAAAGTCACTTGACTTTATGAGCGTCTTGGTGATTGCATAGTCTCGCCAATATAATAAGACATACACATTTGCAAGTTTCATTATACATGCGCGTGTGTGTGTGTGTGTTTGTGTGCGTTTGAAGCGACATAAACACCTACCTAAGTATGAGGTCTGACGACCGCGACCCTTATTTTTGCGAGAGCAAGGGCATAAAAGCTCGACACAGACCAACCAAACCTCCAAAAAGGTCAAAGGTTACCAAGTGGCCGAATTGCCTTTTCACAGCCAAGTCGGCCGGTGTAGCCGGACAGCCATGGAAGTGGCCTATTTGTGTCATCTGGTTGACAAAGGCCAAAAATTCTACTCCATGTTCTCTAATCTGCACTCTTTCTTCACCTTTACTATCCCTCACCTTCCCAGATTGAGCCATTATGGGCTAGCCGTAGCGTCGGTATGCAAACCTTGCACGATAAGTTATTTTTGCCCAAATTCTGGGTCAGCATAGCTGAGTGTGAGCGACTTATATCTTCTATCATGCATCAATTACATCCACTATATCCATAATATATATATATATTTTTAATTATAATTGTCAAAAGTGACTTGGTAATTGCCGATTATAATCAAATCTATTGACAGGAAACATCGTATTTGTATGTTATTACAGTTTTCTCACAAATAACTTT